AGTGCGAAGCGTCCAATAACTGTACCCCGTCCCATAACTGTATCACCTACCCTATCAAGGAACTACGTGTATCTAGGAATTGAGAGGCTGAATTGCATGGACCTCGGACCTCGCATAGCCGAACGCATGGGCCATGCCCATGAATAAACTGCTTAACTGCGTGCCTCTTTTTTCAATTACTCTCAATTACTTGTACTGATTAATTTATTTGTTAATATCTACGTTTTCACGCAGCAGGATTACTGACTAATTAATTGCTTAGTCTGTGTATTGTCATAGGTAGCTCACTAATTAAAAGAAAAGATTGTCAGTAATGTGAGCAATTGTTTTGTATTGCTAATGGAAACAGTTCGTAACTTATAAAGGTTTTTAATCAGAAGGAATATACTGACAAGGAGTGAAAAATAAAACAGTAACCGGATAAGAGTAACGGTGCCACTTATACCCAATTTTCGTCCAGATTCCCTCGCTGCTTAATTTTGTTTGAAATCGTACTGTCACTTACCTCCCTTGTTCCACCACCCTTCTGTTTGAAAAGCCGAAACAGCAGCCCCAATCAGAAAATTATCTGGTAACGGCACGTCCTGAATTTGACCTGTGGTTGCTTTAATAATATTTGCCTGGCCCCAAGCCGACAGAAGGCCGAAAATAGTTAGACGAGCTAACATATTGAGAGACCTATGCATGCAGAAAAGACATTTTATTAGGGTATGCAACAAGGCGCGGTACTCGCTAGAGTGGCCCGTGTTTGCGGAGCGAAAGAGAAGCCGGTTACTCTACTTGACTCTAAACGTAATATTATACCATTTCTTTGATTGTAGGAGACAAATCAAGTAAAAAGATGAGGTTGTATTGAGATAAAAGTACACACATCACTACTTCCTCCGTAGAAATCCTGCGCATTCACTTTAAAAGAAGATGTCCCAAGTGTGTACTTTTATCGCTGAGCGAAGCTCAGTCCAAGTCGCTGAGGGGTCAGGCGATGTCTCCGTCGTGAGTCTGTCTGTCTGTCTGTGTGTAACATTCCGTATCTCCTCAAAATGTGCTGCACTGACAGCAAAAAGGGTGTTTGTCTAAGAATCGACAATTCACGAGTATTATCTGTGTGCAATATTTGATGCATCGGTCAGCTCTGAAATATTCAATCGTTTTATTTGAATTCGCGCGTAGTTCGTTGGTATGTTGGCAGCACTGCATTCAAGTGGGTGAAGAGCACCAGCACATGACCAGCGGGTCCGGCGCTCACTTCGCGTCTTTGATACTCTCTCACAAGTGATTAAATTGTCAGATTGTCAAACCGAGTGTGTTACTTTTAGTTTTAAAGTTGCGGAACTCGACCTACGAAGTTTCGCGAGTGTCCGGTGAGAAGAAACGAAAGTGATATTTTGAATGGTTTGCGTGATTACTTACGTAAGTTGGAGGGGGGAAGGGGGGTAGTGGTTCGGGAGAAATGCGAAAAGGTAACTATTGTTACGAGTTCATCTTGACAAAAGAAAGTGAAAATGTTTTATGCCCCAAGACGATCGGAATCGAAATGGCAGAGCTATTGCCCCCCAATTCGACAATTTGGTCGTTTTTGCATACATTTACCCCTTTGGGGGCTAATAACTTTGCCATTTCGACTCTGATCGTCTTTCAGCATATGACATATCCTTTTTAATTTTGAAAAAGGAATCCAAATCCGTTATTGAACTTTTAATTTTGTAAAATCCAAAATATTCCAAATTTTCAATTTTGTTATTTTAACAAAATGTAATGGTGTTTACTTGTAGAATGATTGGAAGTCACCTAATCTTTCAATAGGACATGTTAAAACGATTCTTAAACACACAACTTTTGTTTCACAATAGGCACGGACCTGCAAGGAACCGAACAATTTTATAGCCAATATCGTTAACTCAGGCCCATCAAAATCAGAACATGGTATATCGTTTTCTTAAATTGCCTAGCTTTGTCTGGAGTTGCATTATGTTCAATGATATCCAATAAAATCGTGGGAGCATTTAAATTAAACTCTATGATACGATACATTATAGAACTTTCTATTACATATACTTCAGGGACTCGTGATCCTTCAAATGCTTCGGAGAGATCTGATAAAAATGAATGAAAGAGCGACAAGTTATACTTGTCGTAGGAGAGAAGTTTAAATGTATTTTGAAATCAAATTAAATATTAAGGTATTTAATTTCACTCCAACTAGAGGCAATCTAACAGAATTTCACCTTTCACAAAAAAGCCACTGTTACAGTAATGTGTTTATCCAAACAAATCAACCATGTATTTTAATGAATAGAAACCAGACTTCCCAGTATCAAGCCTTTCTAGTGGACTTCCAAATCGGTTGTATTGTATAGTAATTACTCAAGTTCACTACTCACTGAAAGTACCTGTTTTAGGGGGGAGGGGGGTGAGGGATTTGAATTCTGGTGAATAGAGCGATCCAACCAGACCAGGCCGCGGTTGAAGGTCCAGCTGGAAGGAGGGTTGAGGGTACGGGTGGGAAACTTCACTGAACAAAAATTAGGGTACGCCCTTTTTAAAAGAATCAGGGAAAAATCAGAAAAATCATTTTAAAAAATTATATTTAAAAAAAAAAAATAATCAGAAAACCATCAGAAAGATAAAAGGATAATCACAGGGAAATAAATCAGGGAAAAGAAGAAAAATTTGTGTATGCTTGAATTTATAGTGAAGTACCCCTCGGGGGAGGTAGGGGAGGGTCACGGTAAGGTGCCTAAATGCACATATAGGGATCTTGAGACAAATTCCCCCCCCAAATCTCTTACGTTCTAGGAGCAGAGAACCAGTTGCCTACCTACTACCTACTCATTCGTTATAGTTTTGTTTTATATTTTTTACATCTTCTGTTATTTTAATGCACTTCGCTCAGCTACCCCGTGCATAATGTTAACGCACGGGGCCCTACGTTTTAATAGGATATCTTCAAGGTTAAGTTCATTTTTATTCTGATGTTGCTAATGTGTTAAGCCATCCTTTGTGTTGAGAAGTATATCCTCAGGTTTCATCCCTATACCTACAGTGGCTTAGAAACTAATTTTATATACCATTCTGCTCGTGCCTCTCGAAAAACAAGTGCTCCGGGAGTCGGCTATTTCAAAACGAAATTTAGCTTATTTAGAGCCCTAGAATCTGTTATAAAGTTACAAACTAGTTCTCATCGGAATAGACGGTTCCGAATAATCTTATTGTTTATTAAACAGCAACGCTTAGAACGACCGCCCAAATGCCCAAACTTTCATCCGTTCTGCTCATTAACATTAACTCTTTTGGGCGAGTTTGGACGGAATTAAGCCGAAAATGACCTCGTGGAGCATTTATTCTTTATAAAAAAGTCTCGTAATCGAAAAGAAAGTTTAGGAAGTGCGTTCATAAAACTACCCATATTTCGAGTCGGAGTGGAATCTTTTCATAGTTGTAAACATCCCAAAACCTCAATCACTAAATTTTTTTTTTTTTCCACTAGAATCTGACAAAATTGAAAGTATTAATGGCATGACCTACCGAACAGGTTCAGTTTCGTTTTCCGAAACTACCTGCGATTTATCTAAAGACTCCAATGCTTTTAGATTATGAGCGGCATTTTTATATGCGGAGAGAAAACAGTCCGTTAACGTACAGTGTACAACAATATTGGAATGAAAAACAATCGCAAGCAGCATCGTAAGCAACGACCACGTGCAAACGCGTTCTTCAACTCTGGAAACCCAAAGTGTGTACTTGAATGCAGAATATTCTGCATACCTACACGTATGCAGAATATTCTGTGTACTTGGCAAGCACACAGAATATTGTGTGTACTTGGTCAAGCACACAGAATATTGCGGTTACTTGGTCAAGTACACACTAAAACCTCCATACATTTATGCAGGAGACTTAGTGTGTACTACCAAGTACACAGAATATTCTGTGTACTTGCCAAGTACACACAATATTCTGTGTACTTGCCAAGTACACACAATATTCTGTGTACTTGCCAAGCACATAGAATATTCTGCATTCAAGCACACACTTGGGTTTCCAAGGAAAGAGTTAAGATGCTAGAGCAGTACTAGTATTGCATATCACAACACTAACCAATGAGAAGCGACGAAAAATGTGTATCCCAAAACACACCTTCGTAGTACATGGGACACAGATTTTTCCACAGTTACGTACTTTTGCTCAGATTTTACTACATGTTCTACAAGTCAACAACTAAGTCCGAGCAAGTAGAACAGTGACATTGGGATGACTTTTCTTTACTGTGCACTAGTAAAAATAACTTTAAACTTTAATGGCCCTTTTTGAAAGTGAATCAAGGATGTTGCACGTACTTACTGGGTCTACTTCAGAAAAATATTGGTGAGAAGTTGAATCTTCCACCGATCTTTATTTAAGACGAAAAGGAGTGACCTGTGAACACTACGACTGTTCCTTATATATAATCACGAAGTGCCATTATCAGCTGCCTTGAAGTGTTCCTCGCATGCACTACAGTTCCTGCACTACTAACTCAAGTAGCAGCAAGAAACACGCAGAAAAGATACTTTTTAAAAGGCGATAAATCGCAAGTTACGAAGAAAGAACACAGACGTTTCGCAATTACAAAGACTTGCAAGGATTCTTTAGAAAGTACCCGGGTGATTATAAAAAAAAAAAACGTGCAGTTACGTCTCAAAATCCCCCCCCCCCCCCCGGTTCATTGAGTTGGATATTTTTCCTTAGTACCCTTAGAATGCATTCCTAGAGTTGCTGTACAGTCTGACGACGTTCAGAGGTTTAAGAGGCATCGGAGTTTAGCCCGATGCTACAGTTCCCCCTTACACGTGCAAAATAGGCTCCATGGCTAAATCCAGACTCTTTTGATGTCATTAAACGTCACCTAAGCGCGAGTCTAGACTGGTCAAGACCAGACCTATACAAAGCACTAATACGCAGGTTAGTGCTCAGACACATAGAGTTCATCTCAGAACATGTTTATAAACCTACGGAAATGCGTAGCGGAACGCCGTCTGCCGTGCTAGAAGGCGTTGGCTGATCGGCGCGGCGCCCGGCTCCCAGGGCGCTCTGCGAACTCCAGCGCTCGCCGTTAAAATCTTGCTAGACTTTTGACGCAACTTTTGGTACAACGGCCATCGGTAGACCCTCCCCTACAATTCTAGACCAAAGCGGGGTCTAAGCGATTAATGTTGAGGCGGCTAGATGTCTCAACGTGCGGCAGCGGCGGGAAAAAGTGCTTCCTGTCCTCTCTCTGTAGTCTCTTGTTGTGGGAAGAAAACCATGCTTTTTCAAACGAGGAAAATCGTCTCGAAAAAATTATACTCATCCCAAGTAAAATTGAGTCAAGAAGATTTTGAGGATTGGGGCAAGAAAACATTTTTGTGAGTGTAGGCAAATCTAAGTCTAACTTCGTCGAAACCTAACCCAAAATAACCAATAATAGCACTTACTCATCGTTATATGCACCTCTTGTCAAAATGAGTTTCGCACAACTTTTACCGCTATTTTGAGAGAGGACCGCTGTCCGTGACCGTATAGCCTCTGACGGTCGCGGGAGAGTTCGTAAGTGTTTGTATCCTAAGCTATCTCTCGTCAACAACAGCACAAAAGTCCATTTTTATCGAAATTTAATAAGAGTAAAGCAGTTAGACGACAACCGTGCAGCCCATTAGACTTCTTGGACCTTTCTTTTCCCAACGACATTTGGTTCAAGTACATTATCTTTTCGGAATGTTATTCTCTTAAAGAGAAGATTCGGAAAATTGCATTTTTATTTTTTTTGACCCCTTACACTTTTTTGCCAGGTATATCTTTGTTGTCTACTACGTAGATAAAATTTTACATCTGAAGATTCTCTCAGTATGCTGAACTGTGTATGTTCAGCAGTTCATAGAATATTTGTATTTTTTGCCAAACTCTTTCGATTTTAGTGACGTTAGCTTTCGCACCCAATAACACACTACTCATAAAAAACTGTATCTGACTACACTCAGAAGAAATTAATATACTGGCTGACCATGTTATTGAATAACTCCGAGTCTGTCTGCTATGATTGCGCTATACAGTACTGCCTCGATCTTGGCTCGAGAATCGGGACCGGACTCGACCGGACTTCAGCTTACAGAGAACGGCCTGAAAGTTAGCCACATGTTGCCAGTCTATTGTGACGGCGCGGGCCCGGGCACCAGCCAGTTGTAAATGCTTTGTCTCCCGGCCGGCCGGCGAGCTCGCGCGAGCTCGGAAGGTTGTAAACCCCCTTCCGTAAGCAGGGACCGCGACAAAATTTCAGCTTACAGAGGGGCAGCTTAGATCGAGGCAATACTGTAACAATATATAAAATACATAGGGCCCCGCGCGTTAACATTGTGCATGGGGAAGCTGACAATGACGTAACAAATACAGAACAAAACAGAGTGAGGGTCCTCTTAATAGTGAGCCGCCAAAGAATAAGAATTTTTTTCTGGTTGATTTCCCTCTGATTTTCCCTTGACTATTCTTATTTTTTTAAAGAGATTTTTTGCTGATTTTTTCAATTTTTTAAATGATTTTTCTATATGATTTTCCTGATTTTTTTAAGAGCGTGCCCCAATTCGACGCGTCCGTGCAACAATATCCTATCTGTTTCGCTGCCCCGAAAGACTAGCCTATCTGTTTCGCTGCCCCAAAAGACTAGCCTATCTGTTTTTCGGCGCTCTCTGCAGCGCTATCTTCTTCTTATTGTGGGTTTGCCAATATTAAGGGTAGGAAAAAAGTAAAAATTGCCATTTGTTCCTTGATCTTTAAGGAACACGCAGCAGTTTTTACTTTTTTTCGACCGTTAATATTGGCAAACCCACAATGAAAAGAAGACAGCGCTGCAGAGAGCGCCGAAAAACAGATAGGCTAGTCTTTCGGGGCAGCGAAACAGGATAGGCTAGTCTTTCGGAGCAGCGAAACAGATAGGATAGTCTTTCGGCGGGCAGCAAACAGATAGGATATTGTTGCACGGACGCGTCGAATTTTTGTTCAGTGAAGTACCTCACCCCCACCCTAAACCCCTTGCCAGCCAGCTGCCAGCTGGACCTTCAACCGCGACCTCGTCTGGTTGGGTCGCTGTAATCACCACCTGGGTTCAAATCCCTTCCACTCCCCTTCCCCCACCCCCCTTCAACAGGTACTTAAAGTGAGTAGTGAACTTTAATAATTACCATGCAAGAGAATAGATTTGGAAGTCCACTAGAAA